TTTCGATTTCATTTAGCTTTGAAGAATGCCGCGTCTGACGTTGGTTCAACGTTAATTCGATGAGCAAATCAACGTTGTTTCAATGTCATGAGAGACGTCGTTTCCACGTTGATTCAATGTCAGTTTGCTATCTGGGGCACTATATAGTGGATAGGGAGCGATTTCAGAGCTTAGCATGTTTAATTTTTTTAACGGCCGTCCACGACGGTTCCGTCACATGTATGAGATTGACCAATAGGAGCACAGAAGCTCTTCCGTACACAACTTTCAAAAAATGGTGTTAAAACTAAAAGTAAAAATATAAAAGAAAACAACATTTTACATCAAGTTCTCTTTGGAGGATTGACAGCCCATACTGTCCTCTTCCAGCAATCCAGGAACGTGTCCATAGTCGGGCTTTCTTTCTTTTTTTACTTTTTTCTGAATACAACAATCACCGCTTCATCCATTGCTTGTTTACGGAAGTCACTCGCTACTAGTTTCGCCTTCTTGATGACATCACACGCGCCGTTAAAGACGACACGTGATGACTGTCAGGAAGCAACATGTGTCTTGTCCACGACACGACTGGATTTTAGGAGTAAAAATGGCGTAATCTGACACAGTGACTATCGTAACAGACAAAAAAATCGTGTAATCTGAACCAGGCATAAGAAAACGCCTCATGACACACAGGACCGACAGATTTACAACGTTTTTTTTTTCCAATATTGAATCCACATATGCACTGATTCACAGTCGTACCTCTCAACCCCAGACTTTCTTCTATCCACTTACTGTCCAATATTGAATATTTTTCATAATCTACCTCACCTTTGCTATTTTTACTGCTATTTCATTATTCTATGTTGTTATGTCTTTTCATGTTGGCACTGGAAAAGAACTTGCTTTTAATCCCATTGTACATGTGTAAAAGGGCATTTCATTAAGTTTGCATTCTATTTTAATCCCAGTCGATCTTATAAAAATAAAAATAAAAACAAACAGCCCAATCCAAATCCATCATACACACACATAAACAGCATAATGTGCATAAAGGAGGATGCTCAGGTTAAGAGATCCACCGACACACACATCCACAGGCTTTAAACAACTAGTCTGCCACTTCATAACAAGCAATGTGTGTGTGTGCTTGTGTTCCCGATCTCCAGTGCTCGGACTGCAGTGGTGTGTGTGTGTGTGTAATTCCCGAGGTATCTCTCTTTAAAACTATGCCACTGTTCTGAGGCGCTGCGTTACTATACTTGAGCTGTATCTTACAGCGGATTTCATCATCGCTCAAAGAGGCCATGAAAAAAAATAGACTCCATTGATCTACACACACACACACACACACACACACACCCCTCCTTCAAAACACACACTTTTGCCTCTGCTTTTTTTAACATTAACTCAGTAAAAACTTAGTTTTTCCTGCGTGGCGGAGCATGAAGATACACACTGACCTCAAATAACCTTCATCTCTGTCTGTGCATGACCGCTATCACACACACACACACACACACACACACACACACAGCAGTGGGTTAATGATCATTGAGTGAGTAAGTGTGTGTGTTTACTCTTTACAGCACCTGTGATGCAACACATACACACACACACACACACACACACACAGCTCAACATCTTTCCTGGAGTTTCATCACACAAACACGTCAAGGCTAATGTGTGTGAATTCATTCAGCAAAAACACACATCAAACAACTGTTGCTGCTGTGTGTGTGTGTGTGTGTGTGTGTGTGTGTGTGTATCACCGATTTCCCCTCAGAAGGTAATAAATCTCAGACTCATCTCCTGCACTGAATACTGAACAATGTTAATTTGTCCTCATAAGCCTGAGCGAGAGATATTTATTAAACAGAAGAACAGAGAGAGAGAGAGAGAGAGAGAGAGTGTGTGTGTTTCTGAAGGACACCTGTCCTCCAGCACAGACAGAGACACACACACACTCATCACTCACACTGACAACTTCCTGTTAAAAATATCCTTCTGTAATAAATTAAGATGTTTGGACAAAATAGGACAAATTCAGACCAGCTGCACTTCCTGTTGAGCAAACAAGCCGAGAATCTAATAAAAGAAATGAATATTGAAAAAAAATAATAATACATTTTTTAAAGTTTAATATTTTTTTAAAAACCATAGAATTATTATAGATTTTATATATATATATATATATGTGTGTGTGTGTGTGTGTGTGTGTGTGTGTGTGTGTCATACAATTACAGTAATCAAAACTGTAGTTAAAAATAGTTTTTTTTAATTATTATTACATATACATTCATTTTCCCTTCTAATTATATTTACTAAATGTATTATTATTATTATAGAATACACACACATACACACACACACACACACACATATATATATATATATATATATATATATATACACACACACACACATACCAGAAAAATCCATTCAAAAATATTGTTGTGAAGTTAAAAAAAATGTTTATGTATTATATTTCTTTACTTGACGATTATGTGTCCTGATTACAGTAATGTTTACAGCATATCTCAGTGTGGACAGGTCAACAGCTGTCGTCGAGTGTGTTCACTCACACACTTTTCTACACTGGAAACAATAGAGAAATATAAGATATATAAATATAAAGAGTCTAACAGAAGAGGTTGTGTGTTCAGAGACACTGATGCAATCAAACAGACACAAATGGGGTGGATATGAACCTTGTCCTCCAACACACACACACATCGCTCTGAACAAAAGAGGAAGACTATTTTCTGCTGGGGGAAGAAAGAAAAGGGAAAAAGCAGAAAAACTACCTGTGAGTGTAAAAAAAAAGAGGAAGAACAGAAACTGCGATCTGTTGCAAAACACTGTGAATGCAAACATCACATTTCTTCTGCTGATGCAAGTCTTGCATTTTTAAAAAGTTGCAAGTTCAGCAATCAGCTGTTCTCTCGTTCATCACACCGTTTTACACCTTTATTTAAGACTAACCCGAAGCAAACATCATCCTCATCAGCGTCTCACACACACACACACACACACACACACACCGTCTGTTCTTCAGTCGTCTCAGCACTTTCACAGAATATAAAGACAAACTCTCGTGTTCTCGTGCTCTCGCCCATCAGCAGATCCACTCGTCTCCTGATCACATTACAGCAACACACACACACACACACACATCACCATTACTGGAGTCGTTACTGGGAGATTTCCGGTTAATGATGTAAACAGCCTCTTAAAAGCGCCTAAATGGATTTGCATAGTTACAAAGATCTCACTGACCAAAGAAGAAACTACACCACTGATGTAGATATCTTAAATTAATATGCAAATACTTACTAGCACTTGTATGAATATGATAATCATACGACAGCAGTTTTGACATGTTTACTGTCATGCATTTGGCAGATACAGTTACACTTTATTTTAAGGTGTCTGGTTAAAGTGTAATTATGCGTAATATTAATTAACTACATGAACTTAGAGTTTGGTTTAGTTGCATGTAATTTATAGTTATCATTATAGTGCATAAAATATGTAACAATGACACTGAAAAATAAAGGGTTACACTTCATTTTAAGGTGTCATGTTACAGTGTAATTATATATTTAAGTACTGAGTAATATTAATAATAGTAAAATAAAGTGTTAGTGTATGTTGTATCGGTTCATGCATTGCATCGGGAATCAAACCCATGATCTATTTGTTTGTTTGTTTGTAATTTAACGCCAGCTAATATTTTCATAAACAGATTTAATAGCGAAATATAAAAGGTAAAAAACTAAAACGCTTCTTCCATGAACAATCAAAAAACTAAATCAGACCTCATTTTATTCAAAATCTCAATAAGGTCAGGAAAGAAATGCTGCTGATTCGGAACAAACATGCTGAGCATCATGTCATCATAATACAGCCATGAAAGCGGATTTACAAACAAAATGTACAAGAACAAACAGTCTGTAACGCAAATACACAAGAACAAGCAGCAGATATGCGTGTATCCTAACATATCCTAATATTATATTATGATAAATGTGCTGAACAGGCATTAAAAACACGCATGCTATATTGATATATTGCTGTAAACGAATGTAAAAGCACCCGATAAAGCCATCAATCAAACGCGCGGTGGTGTTATTGATGCACGCGTTCTCCGTGCCTCGAAAGCTATAGCCGGTTCCGCGCGCTCCGGTGTGCCGTGTTGCCATGACGCCCCGGTGCCCGGGCTCACGTCAAACAAATACCAGCGATTGATGAATCAGCATCTTCCTCACCCGCTCAAATGCCCATTAATAACGCTGATATGATGATTCTCTGATTTGAAATCACGCTGATATGATGATTCCGGGCGCGCGCGTCGGGTAACGGAATTCAACAAATGCTCCACAAAACTAGTTTCCTCACACAGCATTAAACAGGGAATTAAACCCCATGCAGAGATAAACAAAGATAACAGCCTATTATTCTTTGAAGAACCATTCATATCTATCATATATTTTTTTAAAGTCCCATGGTACTTACTTTCTATTTACGTGTTAAATGTGTTTTATTTTCTCAGCAAATAGAACTTTCAAAATGTACGTTCCCATAATGTTTAAAAAAAAGATGAAAGGCAATATTCCCGCGTTTTCTCACGGTTTTAACACCTTTATTTAAAAAAAAAAAACGTTTTTAACGACATTCAGAAATGCCGTTTTCATAAATTAACGGAATCATTAGCAAAACGTTCTTAGATCATATTTTTCTTTTCTCTGTTCTCAAACCCTAGTGTGTTCCCTACCTAGGGCTTGTAAACACGTTGGAACGGCTCGAAACGAGACAGATACCCGTCAAATAATGTAAATGGACGAGTAAAATACGACACCTGAATCAGTAGCATACAACAAAAGTACTCCGGTATTAACACCTGATACCATAGTACCTCCACAGTACTTTTACTAAGGGTGTGTAAACCTGTGGAAATAATTCACTCATCTCGCGTAAAATAGACAAAAAAACGTGAAAGAGAGAGAATAACGCACCTCGAACCCGGACGATCGTGTCCAGCGCAGACGCTTCTGATGAACCAGCAGGTTCCGATTATTCAGATCCAGATCCGCGAGTGTGTTGCTGTGTAACCTCTGCCTGACACACACACACACACTCTCTCTCTCTCTAAATATAACACACGCCGAATCCCGCTGATTTCGGCAAATGTTTCAAATCGAAAGCGACGATCTGAACCGATCAGAGCCGGTGATTGATCACAGATTAGGGTGTGAGAGTGTGCATCGATGAGCCCTTTGTCTGGTCGCTGTCATCATGGCTATGTGTGTGTGTGTCGGGTTTTAAGCGGAATGACCCGATCGTGATGATTCAGCACGGCGAGCCCTTTAAAACGCGCGTCCCGCTCAACGCGCGCGGCGGGGTCACGTGACGCGCACACATATGAGCATATGAACACAATAGTAAATAATACACATATTAATAAATTATTGTAATATTCACACTGTTTTATTATTCACCATTGCTGGAATAGCTAAATACATAGGGTCGTTATATGTAGTTAAATATAACGGGGAATTATATATTCATAACTATAAATAGTTCTCCTGATCACCAGTAGTTTAGTAATGTGTGATTTTTATTTAAAAAAAGTTGTTTTGGGTGATATCGTTTTCTTATTGTATTTTTTACAATTAATTTGTGAACAATTTAGGTTATTAATTACATATTCAAATTATTTATGAATTACATATTCATAACTATTATTTGGAAAGTAGTAAAGATAACATCCTCTTAGAATTAATGCATGATACTGCGATGCTGCAAAAAAAGCAAAGCACAGCATATTTGAAACTTTTAAAAATACAAAATACATAACCTTTATTCTATTCCCTTGGCATTGACCATGTAATTTTTCAATTAAATAATTTGAATTCATAATAAATACTTACAGAATGAATAATTTAAAAATACTGCTTATTTTCTCCTTTTGGTGTCATTATTATGAATGTTCTTTATTTAATTCCTTATTGTATTTATAAATGGTTCATGTTCTGCACTAAAAAAAGAAACTGACATACACACTCACTCGCACGAGCGCGCGCGCGCACACACACGGTGTCGTGCACACTCAGCAAAACAGGTCTGAGCTGAGCGACTCTCTCGTCCCCGTTATAAACACATTTAACCTCGACACGCTTACCGAACGCGTCCGGGAACGTCTCGAGCTGCAGATTACGGTGTCCGGTGGAAACGGAGAGCATCCAGCGGGAGTTTCTCGCGGTTGTCGGCGAATTTGTGACCGTGTTGATCCTCTTTCTCTCGCGCTGGAACCAGACGTCATATGATTCGGCTTGGTCACGTGGTTTCATTCATGAAGGACCTACGCAACGGCAGCGCGACTCTTAAAGGAACACGCGCGTGCTGAGCGCTCACAAACAGTAGCATAAATGTCTACTGTGTTTTAATAAACCAAAAAAATAAATAAAACACAATAAAGATCAATAAACACAACATCTTTAGAAAGAGTACTGAGCATTTTGAACACAAAGCACAACTGAGGACTGATGCACTGCGTCCGAAATTGTGTGTCTGAGCAGGTAATAATACATTAAAAAGTATGTTGTATAAACTATTAATGTAGTATAAATATATATTTATAGTATAAACTATAAGTGTAGTATGAATGAAATTGGGAGGTAGTATATCCGCCATGTTGCCACTATCACGTGATCCACCGCGTCAGTTGCGTCGCTTCACTTACATTCATAAATACTTTCCGTAATGTTAATGTGATGATGTGAATATGTAAAACCTCATGTTCTTATGGCATTGAATTAATAAAAATTAAAAAAAAACTTCCCATGGCTTCATGGGATAGTAAATGGTTCATCGAATGCGCACTTCAAAATCTTGCCGGAAGTACACTGTAAAATAATATAAATTAGGTTTAATCAACTTGGATGTTTAAGTCATTTCAACTTAAATTACAGAAGAGTGACTTTAAAAAAACGAGTGGAATCTTGTATAATTATTTTGATAAGTTAAAGCAATGTAAAGTTAAAGCATATGTTGTCATCATATTTTTACAGTGTCATCTGGGTTCTTTCGCCTATACTATGTTTAAATGTTAAACTCAGGTGAAGCTGCATTGTCTCCCGTCAGAACCGTTCACATTGGAGGAAGCTGATGTGATGAATCACTGTGGTTTAGAAGATCCGTCAGAACCAGAGCCCGTCTTCCTCTTTCTCTCTGCATTCACCAGCTGTACAGCAATGATAAAACATATCTATTCAAACACACACTTCTCTGTTCATACTCCTTCCTCTTTTCAGAGAATATCAGTGCTGCGGAAGCCAAAGACAGAAATAAGGAGCTGAAATGCATCTGCAACGCGTAAGGTGGTTTTGAGCAAATATCAGGATGGATTTGTGGTATAATGGACACTTCATACAGCTCTCAGCAAAAACTGCTCAGATATTGATGACTAGTGTTGATTCTGCAGGTGTGCGTAATCAAACAAGGCCACTCAGAAATAGCTCAATGACCATATCCCAAATATCAAAACTTAAAAAAAATATACCATTTCCATAAATAAATTACAAGTTTAATGTAGTAGGGATGCACCGAGTTTGGCCGATACTGATAACCGATATTTATTTATTCTTGAAAGCCGATAACCGATATATCGGTTCAGATAAAATAACAAATAGTAGCAAAGCACAGATATAATAGCATATCTGAAACTTTTTAAATACAAAATACATAACAGACATATTTTATGTGGTAAGGATGCACTGATATGAAAAGGCCAATACTGATAACCGATATTTTTTAAGATTGAAAGCCGATAACTAATATGTTGGCAGATAAATCTAAATCAAAATTTTTTAAATAATTTTTGAGAGCCTGATTACAAAAACAAAATCTCATCATTAAAAGCCACGTCCCAAGCACAAAATTATAATGTTTAAATTATAATTTTATGTAGCCGATATGACAGATTGCACTTGACTATTTTTTTACTTTTTTGAAGTGATACAAATTTTTCAAGCAATTCAAAAGCATCAATGTTGAACAGAGCGCATCGGAAGTGTCTCAGCTGAAGCAAATAATACATTATTAATCAAGCTTTAATATTTTGGCCAAATTTTATTATCGGGCCGATAATGATTACATTAAAATTTTACATATATCTGCCGATACTATTATGTTGTTACGCAAAATGAAAGCTTTTATCGTAGTGATCACAAAACTTAACATCTACAGCTGTTTAATCATTGGTAGGATATGACATATTTAAATGGTGTACAAGCATTTCAGTCAAATACAATTTATGCAATATGTCAAACTTTGAACCCACACGTGGATAAACCCAGCAGTTTAAAAGCAGCCCGATTCCAAGGGAAAACCACAGATTTGGCAACCCTGGTGTCCGTTACATCAGATTATGAAATCACTGTTTTACGCACCAAAAAAAAGTTGCGGATGGGGCTGTTAAGCAGAAAAATTACATAAAAGCATCATAAGCATTCATATTCGTCGTGATAATTTTGCATGAGGAGCAGACCATGATCTCATTCTATTATTATTCCATTTTATTCTATTATTATTCTAGACCAAGTCATTATTCTATTAATGATACTTTTATGATGGTGTTTTGTTTGTCCTTTTTTTAACTTGATTCAATATTTGACACACACACACATATATATATATATATATATATATATATGTGTGTGCAGTATATATATATATATATATACACACACACTGTAAATATATATATATATATATATATATATATATTAGGGATGCACGATATATCGGCTGCTATAATGTTATCGGTATCGGCTTAAGGAATTTGACCGAAATATTAAAGCGAAATATTATGATTTTTTTAAATCAGGCTCTCAAAAAGGATGGAAAAATTTAGATTTATCGGCCAATATATCGGTTATCGGCTTTCAAATATAAAGAATTATCGGTATCGGCCAAAAACCTGTGCATCTATTAACATTTTGGCTGATACCAATAATTCTTAATATTTGTATTTATATTTCTTATATATATATATATATATATATATACACTCTATATGTATGTTAGATGTGATTAATTGTGATTAATAAATTTGCCAGCAGTAATATTAAGTTATGAACTTTTTCTGAATGTTCTCTTAACATGTCCATTTTATCATTTTGCAAACATTATGGGAACGTTACTTTTGATTGCACTTGAGAGAACCTCCCCGGAACGCTCTGAGATCATTCTCTGTTAGTTGGGACAGCCGACACACACGAGAACAAATTAGATTTGTTTTTCAACATTTAGATGAACTCTCCTTTTTATGCATGAGAAGAAAAATAATCCCAAGTAGTTCAAAATGGTTCAAAAACAGGCAAAAGCTCTTTTGAAGAAACATGTTTGGCGAGACGAGCAACTGAAGAATGGTGGAAATGACTGATTGTGTTTGTGGAACATCATCAGAAAAATGATGAACAGTGTGTGAAGTGCTCCTGCGTGTTTCCAGAGGAATAACAGGAGCGTAAGATTCGTTTGACTTATCAGCGTTCGAGAGCGCGGGGCCAGCCGAGGAACGACCTCTGGAATAAAAGGAGGATTATCGAACTCTTTAGCGCCTCCTCGACTTCCAATCAGAGACACAAATAAACAGCGGCCCTCAGAACACACACAACACAAGAGCAGCGTCCTTAATCACACACCGAACGCTGGAACTAATCCCGCCGCCGACGTAAAGGCATAATAGCACTCACTTCAAGAGGTTCAGCAGCAGAAATTAACTCTTGCTCTGAAACTTTCCGAAAATGAAAACGCTTGTGTTGTAATTTAAGGAAGTGTATCGGGAATCGGCTCGGGTCAGACTTGAACAGAATGTGCGTTAAGAGCCATCTTTCATGAGGACGTCGACTCGTGTGATTTGATCAAACATATTACAATGCAGAAAAACACAATCATGGAGCGCTTTATAACAAATGCCATTATACCTGAGCACGAGGAACGTAAAGCTTTCCTTATTCAGTCTTTAATAATGCACAAAAACATTTAAACGTCTTTTAAATTACAACTCGTTTTAGAATGTTCAGAAAACGTAACGTTCTATGATGTTTGCAGAATGATTCAATGGAATGTTCATAATAATTGTTACATGATGAACATATAAATGTTCTGGTGGCTCTGCTCCTGTCCTCCTCTGATCTGGGGTCTCGCCGGCGTGAACTTTGACCTGCAGGTCAGAGCGGATCAGAAGTAAAACAGGCGTGTCGTCACACACTCGTCTACGTGCAGCTGAGCGGAGGAACATCTACAACATTCTGCTCTAGAAATAGCCGAGCCACCAGCGGAGACTGGAAACGTTCCCAAAC